TATATATATATATATTATGTATGTATAATATATCTAAATTGGTCACAGAACATACTTAGAAATTAATATTGAAATGAAAATGTTTTAATTTTAAAATCATATTAATTTATATAATATATACCTAAACGGTGATGGAAACTTATTGACCATTATATATTATTTTATTTAATAGTTTATGTTTCTGCTTTGAGAAATAAAATAAGATATCGCCTGAAAACTAACTTGGACGTCATTTTTTATTATCATTATTATTATATATACATAATTAAAAAAAAAAAAACGAGTATTGGAGACTTAAATTTAACGAAATCTCAATGTTCACTGCTAACATTATCTAATGGATTTGCCTTATATCGTATGTTTTATAAGAAAAATACATATTTTATGGCATTTGACCCATTTTTTTTTTTAATTTAATTTTTTTTTTTATGTGACTAAGTGGCCTTTTAGTTGTATTTTTTGTTTTATTTAAGACGAGTCGTATATATTATACATTATATATATATATATTTAATTATTATAAATTTTAAATGTATTACCATGTAATCGAGTGATAATAATTGCAATTTTTTAACCGACTAATAATTTTTGTACCTGGCTGTTAAAGATTTCTGATCGAATTTTCACTTAAATATCTTATGGGTGCAAAATGGCCCTTTAAAAATGACGTACACATTGTTTTCCTTTCTATTTGTGGTTTTAAAATTACCTATATGCAATTATTATGTAATGGTTTGTATCTATTAGCTAAGACCAAAATTAGAATGGAAACATACATTTACGTATAAATATATTAATATATATATATATATATTAAAACTTAATTATTAATAATGTTTAAGAATTATATTTAATGATTAAAAAATATTATGTATTTAATATACTATTGATAAAACATTAATTTTAGTAGCTGTTGTACGTGCAATATAGATATATTGCTTTCTCTCTTGGTTATAATAAAATTATATTATCTTAGTGAATATTATTAACCCATTTTGATTGTTTTGTAATTATTCGTAATTCAATAAAGGTTGTAATTAATTTTCTGTGAATTTTTTTATTGATCATTCCTAAAAATAATATATATTATTACTTTATAAGTGAGATATGCACAAACTTATTATGTATGAACTGAGTTCATATAATTTATCTAGCAACCTTGTCTTCCTTTCAAATCTAAAATACTATCTTTACATTAAATGCTAAATTGTACGCATTTTTTTAAATTATTTTATTTTGTGTTTTTAATTTTATTGTTCTTACAATATTATGCTTGATATTTAATACCTGTCCCTAAAATAACGATGAATATTTTATAGTATTGTTAAAATTTACAAAGATTTAAAATGTGAATCATCTTATTTGTAAATTAATTAATAGTGTTTTTGAAGAAACAGTCGATGGTAACTATAATTATATTTTACAACTTAGATTTTGTAATAAAAATTTGACTAATTATAAATATTTATTTTATTAGGTATTAGATGTAGAATATTTGGTGGATATTTTTAACTTAACATATAAACCTAATCAAAATTTAAAGTCTTATATTTATATATTTTCGCAAATATTTTTTTTATCACAAATCACAATATGTTGGATTAAAAAAAAAATGTATTACCTTGGTACTGTGATCATTTCACAAGTATATAAAACAGATCATTTAAACATGTATTAACCAAATACATTTTATTTTTAATTCCAGTCTTTAATTTAACGCATTAATATATATTTTACTGATATATATTCTGTATCACGAGAAAACGCATATGACTTCTGCATCTAAATGACATACAACGTATACAATTTCCTCACCATACGGTGACATTTTGGTATGAGAGTGCATAGTGAAAGACGAGTTTCGGTCGGCCGCCGTTTGCGTTCTCTCATTGTACGGAGTATAGTTACTGAATAGTGAATTTACAGAATTATCAATAAATACTATAACAGTATAACTAGTTAACATCCATAAACTATTTTCATAGGCGTGCGCTTACTTCAGAAATAGGTAGTTCTAAATTAATATACATTCTCTATTTATAATATTATAATTTAAAAATGCTCAAATCTATTTTACAAATAATGCTTTAAACTTCTTTAAGTTGAAAATGTACAATATAATAGTCAAGTTAAACAAAGTTGATTCTGCTGAACCCGAATATTAGGTACTTTAAACTATATAAATTGATTTTAATATTTTATTTCAATGTGGTTTTTAATTATGGTGTTTAGTAAATTTAAAAATAATATCTATCTGATAATTATTAATACGATTTATTATTTATTTATATTATGTTATATAGATAATAGATGTAGAAAATTATATTATTAAAATATTTTTTATTAGCTGTCTCCGTGCCACTTCATTACTCTTCAAAAAACTCAACTTCTTTATAAGGTTATTTATAATTAATTCATTTTCGTTTAGCATTCGTCCTGACATTTTATTTTTGCTTCTTTCTTAAGGGTCGCAGTGTGATGTTAAATAGCCTATATCATTCCTCAATAATTGGACTATCAAGTACAAAAATATTTTTTCAAAGTTAGTAGTTCCAGAGATTAAGGCCAAGTTCACGTGGATAGCGTTAAATGCGCATTTTTTAGTCAGTGTTCACACAAATTAGATTTTACACGTTAAGTGCATGTTATACTATAGTCGATCATGTTTTGTATTTCGAAAAAGATGGACGTTGCAAAAGTTGGTATGCGCATGGATTTTATATAGTAGTGTCGTAGGCAGAGAAATAGAAAATACTGGGTTCATCCCATTAAAAAAAAAAAAAAAAACAGACTTAGTACAAGCTGTTATATCACACCGTATCCAAGTTTAAGAAATTATGAACCCAAATTTTTTAAACTATTTCCGCATGTCAATTCAATATTTTGATAACTTGTGAGAGAAAATCAAGGAAGAAATTATGGCTGACGAAAATGCAATTTGATATTGTATTTTACCAGAAGAAAAGCTTATAATTACTTAGAGGTAGGTTAATTTACTTATTTTAATAAAGAGAACATAACATTACAACATAATATAAAATAACAAGTGTAACATTTTTACTGACAAATATTTGGTGTGATGTTAAATAACCTATATCCTTCCTCAAGAATTGAGCTATCAAGCACAAAAGTGTTTTTTTTTAAGCTGCAATAGTTCAAAGACTAACGCGTATGAACAAAAAACATACTAACTCCTTCAGCCTTATTATGTTATATAGTATTAGTATAGTATAGATAAGTATGAAATCTAAAATTTTTGATGTTTTGTTTTCAATATTATTCATTGTGACAGCATAGGAACACAATTTGTTCTACGATCAAATTTGATCTACAGCTATAATCTATACTCTATACTCAGTTATAGAGTGATTTTTTTTTTCATTTGTCCAATATAGATACATAAATTTGGCTATCACCACTCAATTTGGTTTTGAGGCAATAACTTCATGAAATACCCTAGCCATTGCCTATTTTCATGGTTTAAATCTTAAGAAGTATAATATATATTTCTTCTCCGTAATTTTAAATCACAATTTATCAGTGATATCCACATATTAACGTACAATATTTATTTAAATATGATTTTTAATATATTATAAATGTATTAAATATATTATTTATTTTATTATTTAAAAAAATGCGGGAAATGGTTAACAATCTTGGGGGTTTTTGATTTTTTTTATGAGGGGGGAGCTAAGCCATTTCCGTTTATGTGCAGCACATATTTTATTTTTTTTGATTATTGTCTATAAACACCTTTTATTTTAAGGAATATTTTCAGCAAATTCTTAGCTAAAGGTAGGTACATTATTGTATATTTGTCAACACTAAAAATAAATAGCTATTTATGTAATTTAAAAACAAGGTATTTACACTAAAAATGCAAAATTAAATATTTTTTTAAGAATTACAATTTAATTTTTAAATAGGTACTTATTTATCCATTAGTCATTAGATAGTACACCTAGTTTATAAGCTTATAATATTAATCTCTGCTCTCTTTTATTATTCATTAATTCTTCAATTTTAATGTCCATTAAATTGTTTCGTTTAATAAACAATAATAAAAGAGATTCCACTCTTTCTTAAAACATTGTACTTCGAAGTTCTGATTTTACAAAAGATAATTTAGAAAATACCCTCCTACAACGGCTACAACTGTAGCTTGTGAGTTGTGACAGGTAAAGTAGGTAGCAAAATTTATTAAAACCATTTTAAAATGTGGCAAAACATTTTCTCGATTTTAAAATCAATTATTATTGTCCTTAATTCATACTTTTTTAATACTAAATTAATAAAGCTGCTGATAACTTACACAGTTGACTTGTAGATTAAGTACTAATCATAGATAATACCTCTAGTAGGTACAAATTATTTGAAGTTGTATTCAATTATAAAAGTAGGTATCGAATAACAGTCTTAGATTATTACATAACATAACACTGCTGATCCATCTTTATTTATTTATATCATGGTTTCAATTTTAAACATAGAATAATAATACGTAAAATTGTATTATGAACACGCAGAAAAACAAAAAAATCAGTGAACTTCAGTGGCGCAACCAAGGGGGGGGGTCCCCGGGTCCGGACCCCCCCCTTGAACCATGTCGTATCTTTCTAAAATAATAAAAATGTTTGACAAAATTGAATAATTGATCCGATTCAGTACCGAGTACAGCTGCTGTGATATTGTGATAATAAAAACGCCTTATAGTTGATAAGAACAAATTACGTGTAAGCTCGTATCGAGAAGTCACCGTTGCAAAAGATTACCATATAACTTTTCTGAGTATTACCATACAGTCACGCACGGATAATAGATATCTATTATCCGTGACAGTCACGCGCTTGCATTGATAATAATTGGTGTTATCGTGTACTATTTGTTTTTACTGTTAACAAATCGTTTGTCGTTTTTCGTAGTTTTCAGTTTTTTTTTTGGCATTTACATAGGTATAGTTACTTTTACTAATATTATAAAATACTTATAAATTTAATATGAGTAAACGGAGCATAATTGATTATTTTAAAACATCAAATGTACCGGCTAAAGTCTGTAGGGGAGAAGAACCACTAGAAGTCCAAACTTCAGAAATACATTCGGATCTAGACACTTCAAATGTACATAGTATTTTTGACATACAGCTAATGGTTGGTAAAAAATTTACTGATGCTGAAAAACTTCAACATCTAGAAAATCTATGGACACCAGGTAAGAACTCAGTATTTCCTTCTACGCAGCATGGCAAAAAACAATTAAAATTTCAATTTGTATGGTTAGAAAATTGGAAATGGCTAGCTTATAGTAAAATTGAAGACGGTGCTTACTGCAAATATTGTGTGCTTTTTTCCAAATATAGAGGTGGAAAGGGTAGTCAGCTATTAGGCCAGCTTTGCACCGAAGCATTTAACAAATGGAAACACGCTTTAGAAAAATTTTCTACGCACGAAAAAACTAACTACCATCAAAATAGTGTAATAGATTTTCAACAAATTTCGTCAATTGTTACAGGAAAAACAGATTCTGTTTACCATCAATTAAACAAAACTGAAAAAATCCAGAAAGAAAATAATCGAAAAATAATAATCCCTGTTATTAATTCGGTAATATTGTGTGGTAGGCAAGGCATAGCTCTAAGAGGTCACCGCGATTCTGGACCACTTAATATAGATGAACCATTAATAAATGAAGGCAATTTTAGGTCATTATTAAGATTTTTTCTTAAGGCTACTACTTTATCTAGTGATGAAAGTTTTAAGTTAGCTAGAGAAAATTGCAGTAAAAATGCTCAATATATCAGCTGGAAAATTCAAAATGAAATAGTTCATATTTGTTTTGATATTATTACATCGAAAATTGTAAAAAAAATAAATGATAGTACGTTTTTTTCAATAATAGCCGATGAAACGGCTGATATATCAGGTGTTGAACAATTCGCTTTATGTGCTCGTTATTATGACGTGAACGAAAAAAAAATGTGTGAGAGTTTTTTAAAATTGTTCCAGTGGATGATGTTAGTGGTCAAAGCTTAGCAAATCATATTATTACTGAGTTAAAAGGCTTAAATATTGAAATCAAAAATCTACGGGGTCAAGGTTATGACGGTGCCGCAAGTATGAGTGGGAAATTAAATGGTGTCGCAGCTTTAATTAGAAAAGAATATCCGAGTGCATTGTATATACATTGTAGTGCTCATAATCTCAATCTGTCAGTATCATAATTCATATGCTTGCAATATTTAAGGAATAAGAAACACTATGGGTACTGTAGAAGCATGTTATAACTTCTTAAATACTCCGAAACGACAAAATTTTTTTAATATACATCTGGCTGAGTTGAAAAAAAAAGAAACTTCTTCAAATAAACAAAAACTTAAAAGGCTTTGCCCAACTAGGTGGGTTGAACGTTATAATTCAATAGAAACGTTCAATGAATTTTTTCCCTGCAATTATTTATTGCTTGGAAGAAATGATTACATGGAAAGATATTGATACATCGAGTAAAGCTAATCAACTGCTTTTAGCATTGCAATCTTCTGAATTTAATGTAGCTCTCAGTATTCTCAACCACATTTTTCAGTATACGCAGTCTCTTTGCAAATATTTACAAAGTAAAAATATTGATTTGGTGGTAGCTGTTAATCATATTAATCTAGTAAAAAATCAATTAAGTTGTATAAGGGAAAACGCCACTACTGAATTTGTTCAAGATATACTAAATAATTACTGTTTGTGTGCGATAAGCTCGCTGACTTTATCGTCGCCCTCCTCCCCTCTTGTATATGTG